GAAGTGATGAAACCAGTTCTGGCCTGTGCATTACCCAAGAGAAATTGTCAGGCCAATTGTAAATAATTTGAAGTTTTGCATTTTTGTTTAAGAATTCTGAGAATCATGCTTACAAATTACAAAAACTAAGGAGAAAAAAGTTTCGAAAATATGATGCAGTTGACTTTTATTGTCCTTAAGTCCCATGAATTCTGTGCCAATAAAAACATTGTTTTTCTTTCCATTGGCACTGGATTGAAATTGTTGAAAATGGTGATTTTGCTCCTTTTATTAACCTCAAAGAACATTGTGTCAGGATGGTAAATGAATATTTCAATTAGGCAAAGAATCTTCCCAAAGCAATTATGGAGAAATTTGGAGTTGGCATAAATAGGTGGGCTTTGATATTCTGATCTGGACTCAAAACAGAAACATTTGGGTTCTGGACACTTATTTATGAGGTCTGGAAGAGTTCCCTTGACATCAACTGTGCCCTGGATCCAAACCCAGACCTTACTTCCGAGAGGCCTAGTCAGAATCTTGGACTGTGTTGCATTATTTAACCAATCATAAGGCCTGAGAAACCTCACACTCTGATGGGAAAATGTACTGAGACAAGTGGCCCTAGGTCAGATGGAGCCCATTATGTAAAACCTCAGGAAATTGGACTAAGGCCCTGGAGGCCAGAGAGATTGCCTGAATTAGCAAAATGTTTGAATTATAAAATATTTGACCAGAAAAACATGTATTACGTTAAGATACACAAATTGCTGAAACTAACTTCTCAAAGTGCGTTACCTGGTGGAGGTGCCTGTAAGGTGACCCCTTCCTTTGTAATCAGCAGAATCAACATGCAAATGAATCCTGTGATCAACTTCCTTAAATGATTGTTCACTTACGTGTAATCCTCCTTCTCTCTACAAGTCTGTGGCATGATGGAAAGAGCAGTGCATTTGCAATCCAAAGATCTGAGTTAAGATACTGGCTTTGAAATCCCTCGCATAAAGCCTGATATATTAGAAAAGAGAAGACATGTGTTCTAACGTGTTAGAAAAGAGAAGACCCTAAGGCAATACCACAACAGCTAGCAGTGATCGCTGACACCTTGACGTCAAGAGAGGAGATGGGAAACTTAAAAACAAGCCGGAAGAATGAAAAGATCATGTCTCAGACCATTTTGTGAACACCAGTAGCCTCGGAGGACTTCACTCATGGGGAATGATACGCAGTTATTGTGTTTAGAATAATGATTGTAGTTTTAAGATAACGTTGGATGATGTTCTGTAAACACCACTTAAGAAGGTGGGAATGTGTGTCATCCACGGCAGTTCAGTAAGGTATTTATTGAACATCTGGTAGATGCCAGGCACAGTACTAAGTGCTAGAGATTTAAAGGAAGATGTGTGTTTGCAATCTGGAGTGTGAAACAGATAATGTAAGCAATTTTATTTTTAATTTTTATCCCAAAATATTGCAGTTTTAGCACTTAAGAGGGTGTAATTAATTACACTGGAGAATTTATTTATATGGGAGAGCTAATTCCCTGGATAAATGAGTTGCTGCTATGAATTATTGTGAATCCCAAGGTTGGAAGGGCATTAGTCGGCTAATTAGGCTTACATCATAGGGATAACTCTGCTGCCCTAATTAATGTATGGTATTTAATCCAAACCCTTCCTTCTCTGCATTTCTGAAAGATGTCATGTTGACAAATAAGGTCGAATTTGGCAGCCAGAAGGAAGCTGACTTTATTCGGTATCAAATTTTAACACTCAATTTAACACTCTATTATGCAATTTCACTATTATTCTATAATTTTTCATATGAAGAGTTTGTTCACCAACAAGATGGCATGTTCTTTAACATTAGAAATAAGATCATAAATGTGACTAGGTCAGTGCTGTTTATGTTTAGACATATTTAGCTAGTATTTATTTATTGTCTCCTATAGGTGAGCTCTGTGCAAGGCATTCTTCACGTTATCTCATTTAATCCTTACATTGTCTCTTAAAGAATCTTGATATTATTGTCACAATTTTGGGAGTGAAGGAACCAAAGCTAGGTGACTTATGTTAGGTAATTTATGATCCTACATCTTATAAATGGATTTGAATTCAGGTCCTGGACGTCAGGCCCAGTGGCATTGAATAACGGGTTTTAGCCATACCCATCCTTAGTCTTCTACTAAAGTTTAATATCATCTCAGAATATTTTTTAAATCTTGGGTTCTTTATTTTCCTTTTGTCGTTTGGACCCTAACTTACAGATCAAGTTTCACATCTGTGTTGCAGTTTAGTACCCAGAAAAGAAATTTTGTGTATGATAGAGCCAGAGTGTATTTTTCTTTATCCTTTGGTTATTTTTCCTTTCCTACTCACATAGCTTGTGGTTAAATTATTTTTCTTCAACTTTCATACTAAAATAATTTGCCTTTGGGTAGAGGCCAAGCACAGACCATTTTCAATTCTCTACAAGATTGTTTTTCTAAGCAATTCAAGTGAAAGAATTCCCATGTCTTACAATGGGCATTTGTAAGTTGGTTATTTTGGGTAATCAATGTTAGGATGTAGTCTCTTCTCAAAATCTTGCATCTTCTCACTTCACCAACCCTTAGGAAACGACCCAATAACTACACAGAAAACAGGAGCAATGACCCAAAAGCCGCACCAGTTACTGTTTCCAGATCCATGTAACAGTTTGTCTCCTTTGTGTTGAGTTTGAAATTTTAATGAGGCTATTTAATTTTCCACTTCTTACATAGCTGTGCATAAAAATTCCTTCTTACCTTAGAGGAAACTAAGAATTGGAAAGAAGAACCCTCAAACTAAATGAAATAATCGTCTGGCTTACATTTGTGGAGCACTCACCTTGTGCCAGGAATAATGCTGAGTGCTCTATCTGCATTATTACAGTTAAGACCTACAACCCCCCCGTGGTAGACAATTTTCTTCATAGAAAGTAGATGAACCGAGACACAAAGAAATAATGTCTAAGGTCACTCACTCAGCTGTAACAAATGCCAGATCCAGGACTCAAAACCAAATCTGACCAGCTCCAGTACATTTGCTCTTCATCTTTTTAGAAAATAAACATTTATTTTGGAATATTTTAGATTTACAGAAAAGGTCCAAAGATAGTACACAGAATTCATGTATACCCCTCCCCCAGTTTCCCAGTAATGTTAACATCTTACACATCCATGGGACATTTGTGAAAACTAAGAAACTTACGTTGGAAGATTACTATTAACTAAATTCCAGACTTTATTTGGTTCACCAGTTTTTCCACTAAGGCCCCTTTTTCTGTTCCACGATCCAGTCCAGGGTACCACATTGTGTTTGCTTACCGTGTTCCCCTATCTGTCTGGTCTGTGATAGTTTCTCAGTCTTTCCTTAGTTTTCATGAGCTTGACAGTCTTGAGAAGTACTAGCCAGGTCTCCTGTGGAAGGTCCCCCAACTGGGTTTGTCTGATGTTTTCTCCTGACCAGACTGGAGTTATGAGTTTTTTGAAAGAATATCATGGAGGTAGAACCTTTGTTCTTAACCACTTCTTAATACTGTGTGATTTCAGACACACCTATGCTATAGGTGGGCAGAGTATTTCTACTTGCCATTCTACCAAAGAACGAACTACAGCTTGAGTATGGTTTTAAAAAAAGGCAGGGGGCAGGGGGTTCATTTAAGAATATAATATAATTTAAAATCTCATGGTGACTTGCTTATTTCCATCAGCTTGATCATGTCAGCACTAGAAATTCCTAATGAAGTGATGTTTCAGGTGAAGAGAACTGCCAACATTTTCATGTCAGAAATCTTTCCAAGAGAAGTAATCCTAAATATGACAAAAGCTTTAATTGGAAAAAAGTTTCTTTAGTGCTATTTATGGTAATGAAACATTTTAAAAACAGCATAAATGCCTAACAACAGAGAAATGTTTATGTAAATTATGGCATTTCCTCATAATGGTATATTGTACAATCTTTTAAAAATGATATTTACAAAAGGTGTGTGATACTATAGACAATATTTAGTGGAAAAAGCAAGATTCAACATTGCATATTCTTTACAGTCACAGTTAGTAATATATGCATTGTCCAAAAATTACTAGAAGAAAATATACCAAAATAGCAACAGTGGTTGTCTTTGGGTGGTGGGATTATGAGTAAGTTTTACTTCCTTCTACTTTTCCATACATTGCATGCAATTCGGATGTTTATGTTTTCTTTTATTAAAAAAAAAAATCCTTTCAGAGGAGTGTACTCTTAAACCACAGGAATATTCTGTGACTTCAAGAGGTGGTTACACAGAAGAATCCTTGAGATCAATAAACATGAATTAGGCTTCATTCTGTCTTGACCCCCAAGCCATAGCATCCACAAGGTCAAGATGCTGAGGTTCTCTGAGTATGGGGAGTTGAGAACAAGAAGGAGGTACTCCACCACTACGCACCTCACACCACCATCAACACCCCACATACACACTTCCACACCTTGGCAGCCTTCCAAAGGTGAGGTGCATACCTGTAGACACTTGCTAGCTCTGTGATTTTGAATCAAGAAGCAGTATAAAGAAGTGGTCAAGTGAAGTCTCACTGCCTGGATTTGAACTCTGGCCAGGTTGTTTAAATCTCTGCACCTCCATTTCCTCATCTATAAAATGGGAATCATAACCATATCTACCTTCTGAGATTTAAAGGGAGGACAAAATATGTTAATACTTGTAATACCTGTAAAGTGCCTGGCACATAGTAGGTACTCAGTGAATGGTGTTTAACATGGTGGCTTGTGATTAAACAGTTAATTTCTATTCACCAGGAATTTTTTGTTTTGTTTTTTTTGATTGGCCCTGAGCTAACATTTGTTGCCAGTCTTTTTTTTTTCTTCTTCTTCTTCTCCTCAAAGCCCCCCACTACATAGTTGTATATTCTAGTCGTAGGTCCATTCTAGTTCTGCTATGTGGGATGCTGCCTCAACATGGCTTGATGAGTGGTGCTAGGTTGGCGCCCAGGATCCAACCCGATGAAACCCTGGGCCGCTGAAGCCGAGCATGTGAACTTAACCACTCAGCCATGGGGCCGGCCCGTATTCATCAGGAATTTGAGAATCCTCTACTAAATGATTCCTCAGGTGACCTCCAGTTCTTAAATGCTGTGATTCCAATTATCCAGAGGCTACAGCTTCTCAAACTATGACTCTGAAAAATATGTGTAGGGTCCAAATGTGGCCAGAAGCTCAGTAACATTTATTCATGTGAAAGAATAGTGTGTAAATTCCTGCTTTGGTTTCTGAAAGTCAGAAAAGCATGTCCCCAAAGGACCTCCAGCTGGAGGCCATATAGCTCTAGGATTCTCATGCTGGGTCATATGAAGAAAGAATTTGGTTCTGCCAGAGAAGATATGTTCTTACAGCCAAAACTCCTAAAAGTTCTCTCGTGGCCACATGTGACATGATTTAACATTTTAGACATTTTATAAAGAAGTAGCTCATTAATTTATCTGAAGTGGTAAGGGGTATGAAACTGGGAGTGCCAAACCCTTAATATTTAATACTATATTAAAAATAATACCAGTGTAAGAGAAATGGCTTGACCTGTTCATAGGTTAGTGGATACAGAGAAACTATTGAAAAGATTAATTTCCAGAGCACTTAATTCAGGGAAGTGTTTGGCAAATGAAGTGAATATTTGGGGTTTGAGGACTTAGCTTTGGGAAACTACAAAAAAAATCCTTTATCACCCAGTTGGTGACCATTGCCAAGAAACCATGAAGACAGAGAACTAAGGTCCAGGGGCACCACCCTGGGAATTGGGAGGCCTGGGGCCCCCAGGGAAGGTTGGTCTTGTGTTGGGGAGTTCTTGATGTCCGACCCGGCCCACCGAGGGCTCAGACAGAAAGGAAACAGGTCCCTAATCCAGCTTGTGTATTTTAGGTTTAGTTAATCCCAAATCAGGTCAATTCAAAGGATGATATTTTAACCTAGTTGGGATGAGTTTATACCTTCCACATGCGCATGGAAATAACATTTGCAAAGCACTTTGCAGCCTCCAGTGCTGTAATAGTCTTGGGAGTCAGGCAGCCCTGGGTTTGAATCCCAGATCCACAGTTTATGAGCTGTAAGACTGGGCAAATTACTGAAGCCCTCTGGCCCCCAGTTCCTTCTTAGAGGTGCTAGGAAGCTTATGTGAGATTCTGTTTCAAAATGCTGAGCACAGAGCTAGGTGCAGTGTGAACAACCAAGAAATGGTAACCATCAGTGTATTGTCTTTGCTCCTCACAGCAACCTTTTAGGTGGTTGCTCTTATGGCCCCTGTTTTACAGATGAAGAAACTGAGGTTTAGAGAAGCCAAGTAGTTTGTCCAGGATCAGACATATAGAAGCAGAGGAAGAGCCGGCATTCAGGGCCCCATCTTCAGACAACTTCTAGGTCTTCCCATTGCACGACAAGGCAATGCCTTCCTTTGAATGCAACACCAACCAGATACTCCTATCAATCAAACAACAAAGCTCTTTCTCTTTGAGCGTATATTTGGGAAACCAGCAGTTGCCCCAGAGGCGCTAGCAAAGTGATCCAGGCTCTGAGTTATCCTGTCCCAGATTTTCTGATCCAGACCACAAGCAACTAAAACGGCCCGTGAGAACAGGTCAGCAGTGTGGCCAGGCACTGCGAGTCCCCTTAGGATCAGTAGTAGGGTGGGGGAGGAGGCTGAGGCCCATGTTCAGCACAGTGTCTGGGAGGTCTGCTTGGCTTAGGCAATATCTGGAGTTTGGGGCTGTCCAGACCCAATGCCGCAGCTGGCTGAAAACTGGACTGTCTGAGGTCTTCCACTGTGCCCTGGATTTTCCGGCCAACCATTGGTCCAGTTTTGTTCAGCAAAACACTTTTCCCCGATTGTCAGCCAGTCATGCTCTGGGATTTGAGTTGCAGCAAGTCACTATCTTTCTTCCAAAAACTCAAAAGCAGACACTGTCAGCCATCATTCGTGCCTGTGAACACAGACTTCCACATCCCAGCCAATCTGCCTTTGAGCAGCAGACAAGTGCCCCCGTCCCCTGCAATCTGAGAGAGAGCCACAACCTGCCAGCAGATTCAAGCATTCCCAGCCACCCCTGGCCCTGGCAGAGGCTGGTGCCCCCCAGTCCCTCACCTGTGGCCCCAGAAAGGAGGCCAAGTAGACATTGGAGCCACTGAGTCCAGGGTCTGAGTCCCTCAGGTTGGGCCTCCAAGGAGCCTTTGAGTGGAAGGGGAATGTCTTTGTAACAATCTGAGCCCTGTTGCACCTTCCCCCTTTGCGCACAGCATCCTCACACTGCCCACGCTCTGATTTCCACATTCGCTAGTCCTGCCCATAATGTTTAGGTCCAAGTTAGATGCTCCTTCACCATGCAGTATCAGGAATAATGTTCCTTTCCTCTGAGCCCTCAAGGTGTTTAGTTTCTGCTTGTTCATCGCTGTAGTTATTATAAAATATTTCAGACGTAGAAAAAGTATAAATATAAAGAATATCTATGTAACAGTCATCCAGCTGAAGAAATGAAAGATCATAAATACATTTCATGCCCCTGCTATTCCCCTCTCTGATCACAGTCCCCAGCTTTTCACCACCTCTAACGTAATCACTTATCATAATTTTGAGGTTTAATGATTCCCATGCATGTTTTAATACCTTTAGTACATATGGATGTATTCTTAAATTATAGTCTTTGCATATGTTCAAACACCTAGCAATTATGTGAGCTGTAGATATCCTTCTTCAACTTCCTCCTTTCTAAGATGGGTTTGGTGATAGTCTCTACCCTCAAAGGGATGTTGTGAGGACTGAGTGAGTTAATACATGCAAAGCACATATAGTAGTGCCTGGCACTTGATAAGTGTTAAATAAATGTTAGCTATTACTATCATTATATTTTCACTTATTGTGTTTTGAGAGTGATTCATGTAATACGTTTAATTTTAGGCCATTTATTTTAATCACTATAACATTCCATTGTATCAGTAAACTGAAATGTACTTCTCCATGTCACTGTTGATAAAAGTTTAGTTGTTTGCTACTGGAAACAATTTTTGCAATCCTCTTTCTTGCACATGTCTCCTTGTACGTGGGCAAGTTTTTCTGGCTTCATGTAAATGAAGAGTGTGGGATTGCTGACAGATATCTTTACTGTATTTTAACTCACTTCTGACTACTATTATAATTATACTGGGCCCTGTGTGTGTGTATGCGCAAATCTTGTCATTCCTGGCAGATTGTAAGCTTAGAAGACAAAAGTGGCATTCAGTCATTCATGATTCATTCAGCAAATATGCATTCAGCACCCGGGATAGGCAGCAGATAGGTCTAGGTGACAGGATGCAAAGGTTAAATGGCATGGACTGTCTCCCCGGGGCTCTGTGCTCTGGAAGACACACTCAGGGTACATGTAGTCAGATGGGTGGTCATTTCAGAAGGAAAGGTTTTCATTGAATATCTGCAATGGAGCAGGCATTATGTGTACATTCTCAATCAAGGCCCTTGTTAACGACTCTTGCTTGCTGGGTGCCTGGGACTGGTCATTAATCTTGCTGAGTCCAGTTTCCTCTGATGAGAAAGCACTACATTTTATTGTGTTTGAGAGCACAGACCAGAGTCCTACCACATATGATCTGCATGAACTTGTACAAAGGATTTTCCTGTAAGTCCCTGCTTCCCACTCTGTAAATGGTGCTAATCATAGTATCCATCTAAAAGGAGGCTTGTGAAGATTGCATGACAAAATGTGAGTAAAGTATGTAGCATGTAGCCCCGCATATAATGAGAGCTCAACAATTGGTGGCTATAATGATGATCGTGTTGATCACGTCATCCATTAACCAAAAGGTACATGCCCCTTTAGAAGTCAGCACATCTAGGAAGTCATTAAGAGTTTGTGCTTTCTTCATTGCACTGTGAACCATCAGCTTATACCTAATTTGAAATTTTAGAATATTACCAGTTACTACCTCTTCTATATGAATGTACATTCACAATGTATTTGATCTCAGAATTGCTTTATTTTGAGAATGGAGAAGTTTTGTTTTGTTTTCTAATTTTTTTCAACCAACAAATCTGGCTCTAATCACCAGAAGGAACTGATAACTTCTTGTGTGTCTCTTGACTCCTGTGGACACTAGGGCAGGCTTCTGAGCCCCGGAGCTCTGCTGGCAGCTGCACACTTGAACCTCTAGAGGGAGCTTAGAGGGTATTGAGTCCATTGCTCTGCCTCTGGGCAAAACTGCATTCAAACCATACCTGAATACATCACTATTGTGAGTGGATTCTCAGAGAAAAATTCCAGGCTCATTTCCCAGAATAGATTCAGACACTGCCCAGATTGCTTCCATCATGCACATACTTAATTTTACTAGAATTGGATTTCATTTCAGAGTGGTCTCCAGCTCCCCACAGTGGCCCCTCCTAGGAATTTTTCCTAAGTCAAGCAAGCGTGTGTAGGCTCTGAGAGACACACAGGCCTCATCGCTGCCTCCTTGTCCCTCTGCAAGAAACAGGCATAACATTTCACAAATAATGAGCTGCAGCTGGACTTTAATATGCTCCATCCATTTCAGAATGTTTGGAACTTTTCCTGTCTCTCTAAGAAATACCTTCTGTTGTTTTTGTTTTTCTTCATTTGTAACCTTATATGTAAGGGATGTACTGCTTAGGCTTAAATTAATCAATTCTGGAATACCGTGTATTTATGTTCCTCCCAAACAACAACCTGGTGCCAACATTTGGGAGATAACCTGATTGGTACATTTGGCTTATGGGACAGTCATGGCATGGCCGTCTTCCTAGCATGCCAGCAAGAATGATTCTGGGACCCCAGTCTCTTTCTGAAAGACAGAAGGCAGATGAGAGCCATCCTCCAATATCTGAACAGCCGTCAAGTAGAATGGGGTGTAGACTTATTTACATCTCTGGAAGGCACACCAAGGACAGATAAGTAGAGTTTATTGCAAAATCAGTTCTTGCTCAGTGTAAAGAAGAACTTTCTAAACACTGACTTCTCCATTCGTGGAAGTGTTTGATTGGAAGCTGAAAAAACATCAATGGAGGGTACTGCAGAAGCAGGTGGTGAGGATCCTGTTAGATCCCTTCCAACTCTGTGATTCTGTACAACCCTTATGGGAAGGATTTACTTTCCTAGTTTGTCTTTTTCTGATGATATGGACTTGACTCTTTTGGGATATTTTCCCCCTGTAGTAAAAAAAAAAAAATGTGTCTCTTAACTCATTGGTGTTATACAGTGCTATAGAATCAGAGAGGAGGGAATGACTAACAACGTGTATGGTGGGAAAAGGGAGAGAGGAAGGGGTTAGGGGAGGTTTCACAGACCTGAGAACATTGAAAGATGAGAGAAGTTAGGGAACATTATGGACTTCCAGGGCGAAGGTATGAAAAGATAAAAGATCTTGGTTTACTCAGGGCATGAGGTGTTTTCTGGAATGGCTTGACTCAAAGCCATAAGGATAAGGGTAGAAGGAAAAGTTAATAAGTAGGAGTGATATTCAAAATGGTTAAGGACCTGAATGGCATGGATCTAAACCAGTCAAAAAGGCCAGCCACTTCACAGTGCTGCTGGAATACCAGGTAAATAGCTGCCTGATCTAAGTCTGAAAAGTAGTTTTTGACCAGAATGTCCCAAATAAGGAGGAGCACAGTCACCTCTGCAATTTAGAAAGATCACTCTAAAAGGAGAGTGGATTGCTAAAATTTGTAATAACTGTGAATGCATTAAGTTGAATAGGATTTAATCAGCAAGTTTCAAGAAGCAATGCTACATTAAACCATAAACCCAGCTTTGAAAAACAAGCCTATCCTTCAGTCCAGAACAACAATAGTACCAACAAAACCCATAATGTGCCAAAATGAAACTCAAGCTGTTGGTTTACAAGAAATGTAACCCTATCTCCTTCTCGGTTGTCGATGCCAGACTGGTTTTCAGGCAGGGCCTGGTTTGGCATTGACTACCGAATGCTGAAAACAGCGACCTCACGTGTTTATACTTCTTTCTCCTGGTGACACATGGATTCGAAAAAGAAGTAGGGATGATTAAAACAGGAAGGATAAACATTCAGATAATCCAAAGCCAGACAAATGGCCTCCAAATCAAAACCAGTCAACCAACCAAAGTCACCACATCACTCCACTGAAATTCCTCCACTTTTCCATACCTGGAGAGGCATCAGCACCCTGGACTATCGGTCAGTTCCCACTGGGTAATGGCAGATTTTTCCATCATCTCCATGTGAGAACATGAGGCCTGAGCAGCATCTGGTGAACATCGGTCACTGAGGTTATCAGGGATATTTTGGGGGACTGTCAAGCTCATGGGGCACAGTGGGAAGCCTGTGTAGTGGAATGTGAGAGCACTGAAACAGCCCTGAAAATAGACTCACTAAAGGCCAGCCACTGATGGATTCTTTATGATCAAGGCCAGTGTCTGTTCTGAGTGGCACTTGTGTGTGTGGCTATCAGTGGCCAGAGACACCCCCTTCCCTTTGCCGTTCATAAAGAGAACCTTAGGGATGCATGGTCTGAGATATTTACCCAAATGCTAGCTTAACCCAGTATGACAAAGACCCAGGAGGGAAAATATACTTGGACCCAGGTGTGTGACCATGGGCAGGTGAACTCTCTGAGCCTCAGTCTTCTCATCTATAGAATTAGTCCTCACTTAACTTATGGCATTGATGTGGCAGTCTCATAAGATGATAGACAGCAATAGATAAATTGATCATTGGGTCACATTGATAAGGGTCACATGATATGGTTATTGTTGTTCTCAGAGTGGCTCAGATAGCTGGGGAGGGAGGAGAGGTGGAGTCTTCTCTCTGCAACATGAAGTGGACTCCCAGGTCCTTCTCTAGGAGGGATGCAAGTGGGCTCCGGAAGCTCTTAGGAAATTAGTGGAGTGGAGAAATAGTCAAATCTTTTATGGGCAGTTGTGGGAGACCCAAGGGAGGCAGAGAGGCAGACTCAGGGAAGAGAAAATCATTGGAAGGGTCTTAAAGGAGGGGACTTGAAGTGAAAAACTGTGGGTTTTGGGAGTCAGGCTGCCTGGGTTTGAACCCTGACTAGCTCCTCCCTCTCTGGCTGTATGACTCAAGAGGGTTACTTGTCCATTCCCTCTGTATAACAGATGTGATTTTTATAAATCGATTTTTAAAGGGTTGTTACAAAGATTTAAAATAATGTAGTGAAGGAGAGCCTATGTCAGTGAATAATGACTGTTATTAAGGACTGCAGACTTCGGTGTAATTCAACAAAAAATTCTTGTCATAGACTGAAAGGGACTCTGAGCTCACCTGAATTAACAGATAAGGAAGCTGAGGCCCAGAGAGGCTGGCCCAAGGTCACACAGGTCACACAGATGCTTCCCAGGACCTACATCTGGTCACAGGTCTCTGATCCCACAACTCAGAAGCATATCCAGCCTCCTAACCGAGTGCTTGTGGAACGGCATGTACAGGTGCTCCGAGGGGTAGCAGAGGGTGCTACAGACTGGAAAGCAGGTTGGAATGGCCCGGCTCGGGGCCTGTGGTCAGAGCCAGAGAAGAGGCTGAAGAGTCAGATCACCAGGTCTCTCTTTGAAGAGGGGGAGCCACTGTCGAGTTTTAGAGGACGGAGCAACACGGTCAGATTTGTGTTTGAGAAAACTCACTCCAGCAGTGCTGTGAGGACACCATCTGGCCTGGTTTGCCCAGGACGACACCGGTATAATGGACAATAGTTTATGAAGTGCTTGTGTGTGTGTGTGTGTGTGTGTGTGTGTGTGTGTGTGTGTTGGGGGTGGGCAAGGGTTTCCACAGAGCCCTCTGATTCCTTGGTGCAGATTCTCATTTTTCTCATTTGATCCTCACAGCAGCCCTCGGAGGAGGGCAAAGCAAATATTGTCAACCCATCCTACCATGGGCTGTGAAGCGGGCTCTGGTTCTACCAGTTTCCCCACTACACCACACTGGATTATGCATGATGTAACCATGTCAGTACTAAAAGTCTGCTCCAAATTAAATTAAAATGCATTGAGGAGAAGAGACATAATAGATACTTAATAAATACTTGTTAATGTTTTCCTACTACAAACCACAAAGTTTAAAAACAAATTTTTCTAACAAATTTTGACAAGTGTAGTTTTCCATAACAAACATTTATAGTTTCAAGGACATAAGACAACAGTACTTAGAGATATTAAAACCAACTTTTTAATATCATAAGAAGTCTCTTTGAGCAAGAAATAGACTTAAACTTAGAAACTCAGCTGTAAGATAAGAAGATAACATAAGGAATAGGAGAAGATGTTTGCAACCGTATATCTGCTAATGATCTAGTATCCAGGATATATAAAGAACTCTTACAAGTCAACAACAAAAGGACAAAAAAACCCAACCAAAAAGTGAGCAAAGTACTTGAACAGACATTTCTCCAAAGAAGATATACAAGTGGCCAATAGCATAGTTTCCTATGCTCAATATTGTTAATCATTAGAGAAAGTGCATATCAAAATCACAATGAGATACCAGTTCTTATCCACTAGGATGGCTGTAATTAAAAAAACCTGAAAAATAACAAGTGTTAGTAAGAATATGGAGAAATTGGAGCCTTTGTACATTGCTGGTGAGAGTGTAAAATGATTCAGCCGTGTGGAAAATGGTCTGGTGGGTCCGTAAAAAGTTAAACATAGAATTACCAGATGACCCAGCAAGTCCACTCCCAGGTGTATAGCAAAAAGAATTGAAAACAGGTCCTCAAACAAGTGCATGTACAAGCGTGTCCGTAGCAGCACTCCTCACCGTAGCCAAAAGGTGGAAACGGCAGCTGTTCATCAAAAGATGAATGGATAAACAAATTGTGGTACTGTATATACATCAATGGAATATTCATCAGCCATAAAAAAGAATAAAGTACTAATACACTACAACGTGGGTGAACTGCAAAACATGCCAAGTCAGAGAAGCCAGACACGAAAGGTCACCTATTGTACAATTTCATTTATATGAAGTATCTGGAACAGGGAAATCTATAGAAACAGAAAGTAGGTAAGTGGTTGCTTAGGTCTGGGGGAAAGAATGGAAGTGTGGAGAGCAGCTGCTTCATGGGGAGGGGATTTCCTTTTAGGGTGACGAAAATGTTTGAGAACTAGATAAAAGTTGGTGGCTGTACAATGAGAATGCACTAAATGATGCTGAATTGTTCACTTAAAAAATATATAAGATGCAGACAATGGATTGATTCAACTTAAGTCATGATAACAAGTATGTTAATATTCAGTGGTAATTTTCTTATCTATTAAAATGACATTTCTAACCCAGTGGTTTTTCTACTGAAACTATTTCTGTCCACTGTCTCCCTGCTTACATTTTCTGTGCCTTAATTGTCCCTCATGTAAAATGGGAATAATAATAGTACCTGCCTCGTTCAGCTATTGAGAGGATTCAGTGAGTTCAGAGATGTAAATCTATTTATATCTATCTAAATCTCCTTGTGTTCTATGTAAATCTATTTACATTATATCACGTTTTGTATGTTTGTGCATACTTATGTTTATATCATTTATAAATTTTCTGCTTTTATCCAGTTTTCAATTTTTTTCTCAACAAAGCAAGCAGTTAAATATGCAGAGAGCATTGTGTTTATGAGGGGAACCTTCTTTGCTCTTTTTTCCTTCTGGGAGGCAGCCCCTTTGCAGCAGAATATACTCTCTTGCTCCAAGGCATTTCCCAGGTGGATATTAAGTCTTCATGTCAAGATGTCGTGTTGTGTCTGAGGCTGCACACGTTGTACAGAGTATACTTCACAGAGTTGGGAGCGGGTGGAGAAGGAGCCAGCAGCAAGACTGTTTCAGCAGACCTCTAGTGCTCCTCGCTCCCTCTCCAGCAACAAGATGTATGGCTTCCATGGGCTCCACGTCCCTTCCCAATCCTTTGGCCAGAAATAGTGCGTGGCCCCAATCCAACTGCAAGGGAAGCAGGGAGATTTGTGGAAGTATGTGGACTATTTAGTTAGCTATTAACTGTCTCTATCACACTGGTCTTGGAAAATTTAAGGAACTCTGGGCCAGTAGTTCACTGCTAGTTCTGTCCTGACCTTCTAAACTTGTTACTTTGGACTGAATTCCAGATTCTGACTCCAGTTCCAGGTACTAGGACCCCTGTGGACCCATCTCTGCCTTGATACTGTACCTCGGGTCTTAGGAACTTGAGTCCTGTCACTGAAAGGCGATTCATGAGTCTGGGTCCCTGCTACCTCCTGCTTACCTAATCTGGTTACTACACCTCTGTGTATTATCTGATGTCAAATTCCCTGGTCTATACATACCACTTGTCTACCTGAGCCTCTGCCTTCCGCCGGACTTGTCAGCCAGACTTTTTCTGGAGCCTCTTGCCAGAACCGTCTATCTATTGCCTGTTGCTCCCTTGCTGTGGCTCTTCTCCAAATCCACTCTGGTTTGACCCATCCCACCATTATCCAAGACCTGGTTATGACAGGGGAAATGGAAAACATAAAAACAAAGGAGAGAAAGTAGAGAAAAGGAAAGCAGAAGAGAGAGGCAGAGTGATATAATGAATGAACATTACACTTAGAATGAGGTTCATGTCTAAATTCTGCCACTTCCTACCTACATGACCTTGGCCAAGTCACGGAACCCTTCTGAAACTTTGGTTTTCTACAAAATGAAAGAGGTAGACCAGATGATTGCTAAAGTCCCTTCCAGCCCTGGCATCTTAGGACTCTACATGTAGGTAAGAAACCTTCTTAAAGTCTCTTGGGCTTTTTTGAGAGTAAGGAAGAAGGACGCCTGAGCATAAGCACTGACTGGGAGGTATTATGGGCTGAATTTTGAGTGGGAACTACTTAGGAAAGCCAGTCCTTCTGGTTAAACCTTCTCCTGGGCTTTACTGAGAAAGCCTGAAACCTGGATTTTCAAAATGGAGAAAAAGGGAGAGTTGGCTTTAAATATATTTCATCTGACTATGATGAAAGTATTAAAATTGCACAAGTAGGAAATTTATAGGGCACTTTACATTCTGCTCATTTTTGCACTAGTCAGAAGAGGCTGAAATTCAGTATGTTCTCAAATTAGTTAAAGAAACCCCTTGTCAAAGGCCCCTCAATCCATCTGGTTATCATTATTAAAGCATTATGGGGTGTGTGCTTTCCATAGTAAAAAAATGAATAATCCCTTCAATATATAATTTCATAGGTTTTGATATATGAAGGTAGCCATTAAGGGAGTTATCAAAGCTGCCGTCTGAGGTACACTGTGTGTTGTCAGGGGAAAAATATAAGAGAATTTTCAATAAGCGAAGGTTCAACTGGTTCTAATGCCAAGGCCTTGGATTGTAAGAACACTTCTTGGAATCACTAAAGACTGTTGTTCATTGCATGGAGGCATCTGAAGCCAAAAGATAAATTCTGAACCACCTGGACCATATTAGAGTGTCTGCGGCCTTGAAGGTGTAGAGAGGGGCCCACCCAGATGTGCCTTCTAACACAACTGCCTTCCCAAAGCACAGCACAGCTGAGAGCTTCTGATCCTCTAGCTGTGGCATTTTGTCTCAAGAGCTCTGTGAGGAGCTGGCCTCGTGGCCGAGTGGTTGGTTGTGCCCTCTGCCGCGGCAGCGCAGGGTTTCGCAGGTTCAAATCCTGGGTGTGGACATGGCACCGCTCATCAAGCCATGCTGAGGTGGCTTCCCACATGCCACAATTAGAAGGACCCACAACTAAGAATATACAAGTATGTACCGGTGGGGGGGCTTTGGGGAGAAAAAGGAAAAAATAAAATCTTTAAAAAAAAAAAAAGCACTGAGCCCTGAACTGGCCTTGCCTCTTATGCATTAACCCAGAGAAGAAAACATTTTCCCTTAAGCAAGATATAGTAGAAGGAGTGAGGGCCTGGAGTCAGACAGACCTTGAGCCAGATCCAAGCTCCCAGTGCTCCCGCTAATGAGTTTTGTGACCTGGGGCCAGCACAGTGCCTGGTTCATAGAAGACACTCAGTAAATCCCGGTTGACCTGAACTGTTGAACCGGGGTAATTGCTTACTTGATTTGATCATCAGTTTCCTTCTTAAAGGATGGTGTTTAGGAGCACAGGCTTTTAAGGCCGAACAACTGATATCAGATCCTGGCTTTACAAGCACTTAACCTCTCTGTGCCTTAGTTTCTTCATCTGTCAAATGGAGATGATAGTGTCTACATCATATGCCAATTATGATGATTACGTGAGTTAAAAGTGCTTAAAACAGTGCCTGATACATAGTAAGTACTATATATGCATTATTGTAAAATGAGTACTCTGAACACTTCTAACACATGATAAACACTCCAAAAATGTTATATATTTTCATTTTCTTTATTTCTTAATCGATATTTTATTTACTTATTTTTATATATTTCCATACATATTATAAACCCCTATCAAAGTCTTCAGCATCCTCCAAAGGCCTCCATGAAAAAGAAAAAAATTCCCTTCTACTATTCAGTGCTTTATGGCTTACCAAGTGCTTTACCGAAAAAACCTCATTTGATCCTGACATCACCCCCACCCTCAGAGATCCAACCTGGCTTGTCCGAGCTGACAAGGAGGCCTGGCATTTGGAAACTCCCTGCTGACTCGTCTCCCAGACACATCAAGCCCTAACAGGACACGGATTTGTCACCATCATTTCCTGCTCCCTTCAAGGATTACCTTGCAAAGTATAGGGGGTGATCCCCCTGTTGCCATCTCTGATTTGGGCCTGGGGTTGTTTTCATACTGGAGGAAAAATAGTAACTTTGAAACTTGCCATTTGGTTGGGAATTTAAATGTCTCTTCAAGTTTCTTGTGTTTTGTGAGTTAGTGAATACATGGGGCAGAGATGAAAGGTGAAAAGTCCTTAAGGAATGAAACGTTGCCATTAACTGTTATGAAATTGTTGGAAAAAAATGTAAACCATAATACTCAGTGCTGGTGACAATGCAGTAAGATGGCTACTTATGTCCTACTAGTGGAGTTGTAAGTTGCTCCAGCCTTCTGAATGTGATTTGGCAATATGCCTAAGGAAACTTAAAATTGTGTAGATCTTTCTAGAATGTAACCTTCAGGAAGGCAAGGATATTTTGTCTATTTTTAAAATTAAAAAACAATTGTTTGAATATTACCAATTTAGAATGTTGTCCAGCACCTGGTGGGTGCTCATTAAATATTTGTTTGAATGTTGAATTTGAATGAATGAAAGAGTCATCAGTCTCTTAAATTCGCTTATAGTAGTTCAATCAAAAGGAAAATCAGAAATGGCAGATAGTTTTTGTGTGCTCATCACAGCATGATTTATAGTAGTGAAAGTTTGGAAACAATTATACAAAATAGGAATTATTAGATCATCAGTTGGAGTGTTTTTCAGTTTCTTAATGATGTTTTAGGTTTAAGTTTTAGTATGTGGGAAAATGCTTATCATATAATTTTAAGTGGGAAAAAAAGAAGAGTATGAAATTTTATGTATGGTATGATCTCAAATTTTTTAAACAGTTTTTTTTTTTAAGCATAGAAAAAATGTCAGAAGAAAATAGACCAAAATGATAACAGTGGTTATCTCTGGATGATAATAGGTGTGATTTTTATTTAATTTTTCTTAACTTTTCAGTGTATAATAAACATATATTACTTTTGAACTTAGGAAAAAGATATATGTTACAAAATCCCTATTGAACTTAGCGTCAGATGGAGACCAGGCTTATGCCCCAGCTCATGTGATAGATGTGAAAGTGCTGTTGTGCAAAATATTAAGCATAAAACTAAAGTATAAAATGATAGCTTTTGTTGTTGTTCTCACAACTGTTGTAGCAAGTGGCACCTTTTGAGAAAGGTGACCAGAGCATCATAAGAACCTTTTGTGACACGTGTTAGAATTGCCAACAGGTTGGGAATGACGTTGTCAGTTCCTGGAGTGGAACCCTGCCTGTTTTGTATAGTGCAATGCCTGGCATATTGCAGGTAGTCATAACTTTTACTGCGAGAGTAAAGAAAGTGTGAGGAATTGCTGACCTGCCGCGTTGATTTGTCCGGGTAACAGTGAACTGTACCTGGGGTGCGGAAGTGAGGCATTTTCCCGGCAGCGAGCTGGCCCACCATCATCATCTCCACGCAGCTTCTTTGTTCTCTTTTATACACCGTCATACTGAATCCTTATAATAACGCTGTGCGGAGGGCTCTGTATTACACCAGGTTCACAAGTGAGGAAGCTAAGGCCAATGGAAGGTTAAATAACTAGCCCAAGGTCGCATAGTTAGCAGCCGATGGAACCAGGATTCTAACGCAGGTCTCTTTGGCTCCTAACTTCTGTGCTCTTCCTCCAAACAGGGCCTCTTTTCAGAGGAGCGACTCGGCATTATGTTCTCCAGGCCTTGCTGAATTTGGGGCCTTCCTCAGATATTCCAGACGTAACTTTTCTGTTGTTATGAACTAGAAACAAAGAAAACTTGGCACCTCCAAATCCGATGGGAAGTGGGTAAAATGCTCTTTCGTTGCAGTTTTCAGTAGCAACCCAACCCTGAGATAAAGGGCTTATCTCAGATGGGGAGCCCGAGCTAGCTGTATCCAGCAATTGTCTGTGAAAACCATGTCTTCCCATTGGTTACAGTGAGAGCCCCTACATTTGCCTAATTAGGGCCACAGGCCTCACACTTCTCTCTCCTTAGGTTTGGTAATGAAGTCACCCCAGCTCGAGGAGTGCTCCTTGACCTCTCCGACAGCCTTTGCCTCTTGAAGACGGATTCTGTTTATATTGTTCTTTCAAGTGGTATTTTTTCAACAAAGCTCAGTAGTCATTCTGGTTTAAAAGGAATATTCTCCCTCCCCAAGCCCTAATAAACCAGCTCTGGCATGTGCTGAGCTTTATGAGCTTTGTGAACCAATTGACTGGCTCTTTAGAAAAATCAGTGGCCCACTGCTGATAATAACCTAGTGCCATTCTTGTTCAAGTGATTGAATTCCCTGGACTCACCTGCCCCTGCGTTGTCCTGGTGCTTTAATAATGGAATTTGCCAGTGGAGAAACTGGACTGGCTGGAGAAATAAAAAGAGGGGATGTGGTCCCAATTCCAAGCCTTCCCTCATCCTGCCCAGCTGGGTCCAGGCAGGCTTGGACCCTGGGTGAGATTTTATTCACAGCGGGCATATTAGTTTGCGAGGGATGCCTTAACAGAATACCACAGACTGGATGGCTTAAACAACACAAATTTATTTTCTCACAATTCTGGAGGCTAAAAGTCCAAGATCAACGTGTTGGTAGGTTTAGTTTCTTCTGAGGGCTCTCTCCTTGGCTTGCAGGTGGCCCTGTTCTCCCTGTGTCTTCATATGATCTCTTTTGCTGTGTTTCTATATCCTAATCTCTTTTTATAAGGACACCTGCAATAGTGGATCAGGGCCCACTGTAATGACCCCATTTAACTTAATTACCTCTGTACAAGCCCTATCTCTAAATATAGTCACATGCTGAGTTTCTCGGGGTTAGGACTTCAACACATGGATTTTTGGGGGAGGGGGGTCACAATTCAGCCCATAACAGGGGATCTCCAGAGAACTGGAATAGAATGATCGGAATTGAGCAATCACTTGCTACATTCCAGACCATGAGCGCTGGTGTCAGCAATTCCTCCAATGCTGGGTGGCTAATCTGACCCCTAGGAAAGGAAAAGCATCACAGAGACTGTGAGGACCCCAGCTCAGATGCCTAAGCAGTGCTGAGGAACACAAACGGGGACCAGCCCAATCTCTCAGGCTTGAAGCATCCAAGGCTTGCACGTCTTCTTCTCCGCATCACTCAATACTCAAAGAAGAATCATGTCTTCTTTTCTCTCCCTCTGAAATGTACCTTGAAGCTATCCCTTCTCCTTCACTCTGTTTCCTCCCCTTTGCCCTGGTTTAGAGCATCTTCCTTCACAGGGACCATGGCCCCAGCCTATCCATGCCTCATAGCCTCCAGCCTCCGCCCCTCCCCAGTCCTCCATTCAGCTGGGAGAGGGCTCTTTTTTTTTTTCTTTTTCTTTTTCTCCCCAAATCCCCTGAGTACATAGTTGTATATTTTAGTTGTGGGTCTTTCTAGTTGTGGCATGTGGGATGCCACCTCAACATGGCCTGATGAGCCATGCCATGTCCACACCCAGTATCCGAACTGGCGAAACCCTGGACCGCCGAAGCGGAGCGTGAGAACTTAACCACTCAGCCACTGGGCCGGTGCCCCTGGAGGGCTCTTTAAAGTGGAGATTGGATCAGTACTTCCTGCTTGATTGCCTTCCCCACTGCCTACAGGATATTAGCAATCCTTAGCATAGTACAAGAAGCTTTAAAACCTTCAATGGCTCCCCACTGCCTCCAGAGTGATATAATTAGCAAAGCTTGCAAGGTCCACTTCAACCTGGTCAGACCTCTCTCTCCAGTCTGATTGCTTAATGTACCCCTGCCCCTCAGCCCCTCTCCTCAGAGGGTCCAGCACCTCGGATCTCTTTCTCTTCCCTAGGTGCTCCATGCCTGCCATGCTTTCCCCCTCCTGCCTCCAGACTTGAAGAACTGTCCAAAGCCAAGGTCTAAATTAAATGTCGCTTTTCTGTGAAGCCTTCCCCACTGCTCCTCCTAACCCTGAAGGGGAATTATTCTCTCCCTACTCTCTAATCCCACGGCACTTGATACATTTCTGTGTCTGTGCTTTAACGTCTTGAATTGTATCATTTTCCTAACTTTGTCTCCATCTCTAGGCTGTGAGCTCCTTAACATAAGGACTTTCTCTTTTCTATCTCTATGTGTCCAGTGTCCCACACAGCCCCACACATAGTAGGTGCTCAGGAGAAAGGCGCTAGGTGAGTAGGTAGATGAAGTTATGGGACTCTCTCCATACCTTTGTTGATGGTCCACACTGTGGGATTGTTGGGTTGTCTGATGATGGTCTTTCCAAGTTTGAGTGACCAAGTCCCCTTTGATAGTGTCCGTGACCAACCCGTCTGCAGTAGCACTTTAGTCACCCATGGGCCGAGTCACCTCCCAGTTTGGGACAGTCAACAGAAGTGCCATAAAGTGCAGTGTAAATTGTGCTAAAATTAGGCGTGAGAAAATGGAGCTGGAGATAGAGGCTAAAAACACCACTCACCTCAAGAGTCCACCTCCCTTGTCACCGAGATGAGGGACAGCACACACGTCAGGAGAACTGGGACGTGTGGGGACCAGACAGCAGCAGCTGAGCTGTCGGAGCTCTGGCCCAAGTAGAAAACACCATGGATACTTGGCAAGTGAATTCCCTTGTTCATGTCATTCCAATCTTGCGGCCTTCCAAGAATAAGATGCAGAATAATGTTCTAACTGTCAAAAGCAGAAGAGATACAAAAGCAGAAGAAAATAGCAAAGCTGGAAGAGACCTAAGGGGAAAAAAAAATCTAGCCCAATATTTTTTCAAAAGTTTTCTTAGCCACAGAGGCTTTTATTCAAACAAAATCTCGAATAATGAAGCCCAATGTTACGATAGATGGATATCATAGAAGCTGTTAAACTGTAGTGGCGGAAGCAAGACAGGCCCCTATTCCCATGGACTCCCGACTTGACACTTCTGTGGAACCTCTGAGGACCCAGTGGAGAGCCTAAAGTCCAGATTGGCATATCTCCTAATCTAGTTGTCCCACCTTGGAGACTGATATTCGCTCATTCATCCATCCATTCATTCACATTCTCCTTCTCTTTCTCTCTCTCTCTCTCTCTCTCCAAACATTGATTAAGCTCCTACTGCAAACCAAGCACTAAGGTAAAAATAAGTAAGACGTAGGGAAACCTAAGAGTTTAAATGGCGAGACACACTTGTAAACAAACACTTGGAGTAAATCTGACGACGATTTTTAGAGCTCCAGGGCCGTGCAGGTGACAGCGAGGTTACCAAGAAAGGAGAGGCCAGTGGATTCTCCAGCAGCTACCCAAAATAAGGTTGCCTGAATTCCCAAGCCAGGGAGATTTATTCTGTACCCTGCTGCTGCTAAAGCAATAAAAGAGGAAGCTTTTCTGTTTAGAGCCTCGCATCCACCCAGGCTTCCCAGCTCAGCCGTTGTCCCCAGGGCTGCCCCAGGGCTGCTGAGTGCACAGAGCGGCCCTGGAGGTGAGCGAGGGCAGGGCCGGCAGAGGGAGGAAATCTCTCTGCAGCGCTTGGACGGCAGCTGCGGCCTCACAATGAGAGGGGCCAGCGCCTCGCCTGATTCTTTTGTCCCAGGCCACTGGGGAGTTAGGAAAGCCTTTGTGCCCAGAGGTCTTTAAATAACGTTGCCACTCATGAGGAAACCTTAGGAAAACCCAGATTTTCTTTCATCAGAAAGGAATTGAGCCTGTTAGTAGAGGACAGGGCCCTCCCCACCCCCGCTTCATGTGTTTGTGAATGGCCCACTGTGGAGAGGGGCAGGCTCCTGCTCAGTAGCCGCGTTCCCAGGCCCCATTTGAGGCTGCCGTTTTTGCCTCCACACAGCCCGAGTCCTGGGACAATGCCTCACCCTGTAGTTTGATGTGTTTGCACTTTCTGCTCTAGTGAGCCACAGGTTTTGAGGTGGAGATGTGTGACTTGATGTGGTCATTTTCTACTGGGTCTCCTTTGACTCAGGAACCTGGAGAGAACATGAATTTAGTCCCCTTGCCATGGTTTTCTCAGTGTCCCATCAGTGTGTGTGTGGGCCTGAGATAGCACCTACGTACAGTGAGAGCCCCTGAAAGTTTCTGAAATAAGTAATTTCTGAAATAAGTAATTAGTATATACTAGCAAACAGTTATATTACTTTGACTGAGAGAATTTAAAAAAGGGAGGGAACTAATTAATATGTCTCAAGGGTGCATTCTGAACCAGGCACCGACCTTGGGCCTGGTTCCTTTGACTATTTCACTGCAATTATTGTCATGCTATTCGTGCAACGTCTCTGCCCCTCTGATCCTCAGGCTCCAGGAGGACAAGGACTGTGCCTATCCTGTGCACTGCCATAGCCCAGCTCCTAGCACAATGCCTGGCACGTGGTAACATATACAATAATTATGTTGATTGAATACATAAATGATCTTCTGTGATCTTCTGATGACCTTGTGGAATTGGTATTATTAGCCCATTTTACAGACTAATGAATTGAGGTTCTAAGAAGTTGAGTAACTTGCTTAAGTCCACACAGCCAGTCATTGACTTAGACAGTATTAACCCAGGGCTTTCAAATTGAGCCCTTGTTTATACTTGAACCTGAAGGCCCTCATTTTTTTTAATAGTAAAACAGAAAAGAGAAAGAATCCTTTTTTCCAATGCTCTAGGAACAACTCTTGTTCTGCTTGCTTTCTAGATGAGAGAGACAAGTTACTCCCTCATAATTATATTGTATGTCCTACCAGGTCTTTGTCTGCTGGGTAAGGAGGATGCTTGCTAACACAAACGGTAAATGGAGGCCTTTTCCACTGTCTTTCTTTTGGGGTATGATTCTAACTGTAAGAATGAAAACATTTTGGGGAAAGGTAGAAGGTGTGGACTGGAGTAGTCAGGAAGGGCTTTATCCCAGGGCTAATTCTTGTGTTAGGCCTCGGAGAGGAGTAGGATTTACCAGGAGTGTGGAGGCTGGACTCTGTAGGGACAGTGTGAGACAAAGCGTGGAGGGGACAGTGAGGAAAACAGAGACCCACCCATGTGGAACAGTGACAATCAAGGATCATGCCTTGGCCCCACTTAAAAGCCTACAGGAGCTCCCTAAGCTGCAGGGCTCCTCAGCTTGACCCCGAAGCCCTCTGTGACCTGGTCTGCCTGCCTCGTGCCTGCCCAGGCCTCTGGCCTCATTCACCACTGTTCTGCCCAGCAGCCCCACTCGGGCAGGCTGCACTGGCCTTGAGCACCATGCCTCCTGGGCCTCTGCATCTTTGTGCACGCTGATCCTTCTATCTTGAATGCTTTCCCCTTCTGTCCGTTGGCAGAACTTTTCCTTGCTCTCTGCTTAGATATGACCTCCTTTGTAAAACCTTCCTTCCACCTCCTGTGTAACCCCAAGCAGATACCTCCCTTCTTCACACTCCCAATTCCTTCTTTATTGGCATCTGTTTCTCTATTAAACTCCTCTGTAGGTCCGTGCCCCTGACCAGCCTTCCATTCTCCACCCTGTACCCTTCCACTTGGATTTCAGGAGTACTGGCCTTCCTTTATATCTTTAGTCCCTTCCGGAATATTCTCTCCAGCTCCATCTCTTAACTAAAACCTACTTCACCCTGAATTGACCACTTCTTCCAAGCCCCTTTCATGGGGAGGTTGTTTATCTTTTCACACTCCTTAACCCTCCAAGTCAAGACATAGGTAAGTATCCTTTTATTTCCCAAGGCCATTTTAGAACTATACTCTCCCGTCGTCTTACTTAAACAAACAAATAACTTGCACAGCAATAAAACCTGCTTCACTGCTCCTTTTCTAGGAGTTGTGCTGTTTAGAGATACTGACCTTTTCTCCTTTTCGTCACTGTCATTTACCACCTTTCACTCATTGAGGACTTTGGCACCAGCTTATAAACTTTCTCCACCCCAATCCTGCCATCATCTTGGATGACTTAAGCGTCAGTACACTGCCTCCTCCAACATCCTGGCCTCTCCCAACTGGAATACTTTTCCTCTGCATTCCCCTTCGGCTACTCTCAGAGTCACACCCTGGACCTTGGCATTGTGTGACATTCCTCTTTATGAATCATAGAAGTCATAGAATCGTAGAAATCAGTGATTCTAACAACACATTATGACCGGAGATGTTGCTTGGTCAGCCATGTCTTCTGAACTCACCACAGTCTCCAGTCTACCCATCCTCCACTTTACCCATCCATTACCCATTCCAGGCATTGCTCCTGTCCACTGACCTAGTCCAATCCAGCTTGGATTCCATGGTCTGTCATTCCCACTCTTCCTGACAGTGACCCAAAACTTTTTGCCCCCGTATCTTTTCATTGCATTCTTTTGATAAAAATCACAATCCTGAATAACCCCAGTGTTTGCTTTTTCCACGCCTGTGGCAGGCAGCCCAGCCATGCGAGAGGAAAACATGCAGCAGAAAAAAGTGTGCAACTGTACATTTATGATCACCAATCTCAACTGAGCTCTTAGCAATGCCCAGAAATCTCATATGTTTCTCTGATCACCTTGCTCTCACACTCTCCACAACTTGTCTTCAAAACTTCTCTACTTTGACATCTCTGACCCTCACTGTCAACATATAATTTCCCTGAGTCTATAAACACACAACGGCTTCACTTGTCCATTCCGCCTCCCCTCCTGTTACAGCAGCTGAGAGGTCCTCCTGTGTCTAAGGTCTGTCCCTCCACCTGGGCTCTGGCTCCCATCCTCTCCCTTCTTGAGGAATCTGACCTCTCAGCATTTAAACATGCTCAAGTCCCTCCACCTTAAACCACTCCCCCTTAGTAGCTGAACTTCTTGGAAGAGTCGTGTGCATTTGCTCTTTCCGTTTCTTCGCCTGCTGGTCCGCCTTCAGATCACTCCAGTCTGACTGCCCCAGACCCTCACTGGCTTACAGGGAGCCTGCGCTTTGCTAAATCCAGTGGACAATTTTCAGTCCTCATGTTACTTGACCTTTCAGAAAACTCCAGCAGTGTTGACCACTCCCACCTTCCTGAAACGCTATCCTCCTCAGCCGTCTTGCGACAATGCATCTGCTGGTTCTCCTTCTACTTCTCAGCTCTCCCTTCTCAGTCTCCTGCACCAGCTTATCCTCCTTAATCCAGCCTTCCAGTGCAGAGTTGCTCAAAGCTCAGACCGAGGCTCTTTCCTCACTCTAAACTCCAGAGAGTTTCAGTGACCACCTGTTTGCTAACAATTTTCAGTTTCATCCTCTAGCCCTCTTTCTAAGACCCAGACTTACAGATATCCAAGCTGTCTACTTGACATCTCCAGATGGATGTCTGAAAGCCTGTGAAACTCAGTGTGTATAAAGTACAGTTTGAGATGCACTCCTCTCCTTCTTCCTCCTCCCCTCAAAAATGCTGGTCTTCGTTGTTGGGCGTCCCTTTCAATGATGCCACCAGTTATGATGGCAGCAATCCTTGATCCCTACTTCCCACTCGATCCCCAAATCTCATCCATCACAGGTCCTGTGCATCTTATCTCCTCCATACATCTCTTATCCTTCCACTTCTCTCCACCTGCACTCCACCATCCTGGTCCAAGCTGCCATTACCTTTTACCTGGAAAGTAAATTACCTATTGCAGGAACTCTGTATTTATTGGCACATTCTTAGTCCCCTCCCAAAGATTCTTCTCACTGTAGTCAAAGCGATCTTTTGCAAAAAAGCGCAAAGTGTATTATGTCTCTTCCGTTTAAAAGTTTGCTGTGGTTTCCCATTGCCCTGAGGCTGAAAATCTAAGTCCTAAGTGGAGTCACCCACATGCCGCACAGTCTTGGTCCTTCCTGTGCTCCTTCCCCTTTCTGAGCCTTTGAACATGCTGTTTCTTGTCCATTTAGAATGTTTCTCTATTCAACTCTACCCTGGCATTTGGCCTGATTAACTCTTTATTTGTCTTTTATATCTCATCTCCAGTGTTGCTTCCTTAGGGAAGACTCTTAGTCACCCTCCCCCCAAAGCAAACTACATCAGGGCTCCCAGTTCTTCCCATGCTTTCATAGCATCCTCTGCATCTGCTTTGTAGTATTTCTTATGAAATAATTACATGGGTAATTATTTAATAATTGTCTTCCCTACTGGAAGGTGAACTTCTCTTTTCACTGGTGTATCCCCCTGGCCAACATCCTACTTTGCACAAAGTAGGTGCTCAACAAATTTTTATCAAATGAATGGCATCACTATTTTGCAACTTTGAATGAATGACAAATCACTTTGTCTTGTTTCTTCTGTGTTAATTTCCCCGTCTGGAATGTGAGATTTGGGCTTTTTAATCTCTTTTTCACTTGTATCTAGAATTGTGCCTGTCACACGGTATGTGCTAGTTGAATGAATGAATGACGATTAGGTTGAGTAAGAAGGGTGGGCCAGATGGTGGACAGGGCAGCAGAGACAGCAATGAGAAACATGTTCCATGGTCCTTATCTGCAAGCCTTGGGTTATCTGGTTGGTATTAACTTTCCCCTGTAAAAATGTTTCAGAGATTTGTTCCCTATAAAAAGCCAGTTTCTGATCCTGATTTCTCACTAAGGTTTAACGGCCCCGAAAGCCCAGATACTTAACTTGAAGCTTCTGATCTTTTTTGGGTTTTTTTCTTATGATGGAAAATAACACAGAAAGCCCATTGTTTCAGACTTGATGGAAACAACTGGAATTCTGTCTTCTCCATACGCACAGCAACTGATTTTCTCTCTGTTATGAATTTACCCGGCGCCAGGATCCTCATCGGGATTTTTCTCTGGGGACCCAGGAAGATCTTGCTACAACAGTGTGTGATGATTAGTGCCCTCACTGTGCTTTTGCAGTACGCAGTCTTCATATTTTAAGGCAATGCCGTTAATAATTATATTAAAAAGAAGTATTTTTTCTTCTTGTTATCGCTGCTTATTAAAAAAGATACATCTTTACTAATGTCAGCATCCATCCCTTCCCCTCCTTAGGAAATTATCCTAATTGAATCTTTATTCAGATATTTCCTAAGGATAAGATACTCACCTGGACTCCTGAATTTGTGTGTCGTGGATGAGAATTTGTGCAAAACTCGGATCTCCCCTCCTGGTGCAGTTTCTCAACATCACCAGGGACGCAGATGAAAAGCCCTAGACCTGCCGTAACTAACATTTTCAGGTAGAGGCCTAGGACTTGAATTTTAAACTAGGTGCGCGTGAGAATCAGAGTACTTAACTGTAAGTTTAAGTCAATGTCCTGTTCATTCTTTAATTCACTGCAGTGGTTAGCAGAGAGGCATAGAAGGGCATTCCTAGCAGAGGAACTAGCACATGCACACACAGAGACAAGAAAATGCCTGCTTCCTCTGGGAATGATACGAGAGTTGTTGATGGCTACCTGTGGAGGGTGGTAGGATATGAAGCCAAAAATGATGCATAGCTCAGGTAAAGCTTTGCAGGTTTTGCTAAAGATGTTTTAAGTTAGGAAGTGAAATGATAAAATTTGGTATTTGGAAAATGTCAGTCTGGCAGAAGTTCTAAAAGGTGTATTTCAGGGGCAGGACAATGAGAGTGTGGGGTGAGAATGGTTAAGACTGGAGTCCAGCTGTTGCAGAACCATTAGTTTATTAGCAGCCCAGGAATGATGTCCATATTGAAGTCAACAAGAAAATGAGAATGAGGAAGATGGATAGCAGAGGATAAAGTGAGAACTATTCAGGAGATAGAAAATTAACTGGACTTAGCAATGACTGCATATATGGATTGAGTTGGGAGGAATCCAGGATAACTTAAGTTTCTTCTGGGCTACTGGATGGTACCATTATTGAGTAGAGAAGGCAGGAGGGAGGTTTGGCATGAGAGCTGAGTTTGCTTTGGGGCATGTGGTATTTGACAGGCCTATGAGACGTATAGGTGGCATGCCCAGGAAGCAGTTGGATGTGTGTGTCTGGAATTAAAATGATTCTAGGGACTTAATGGTTCTTCCTTGCCACCAACTTATCACCCAAACTGCTTTGCTTAAAAGTAACAATAGCTGACATTTAGTTAGTGAGTCCTTACTAAGTGTCAGACAGCCTGTTGCACACAACATACATCATGAAATAGGAATTTTTATCATCTCTCTTTTACAGAGGAGGAACCTGAAACTTGAAAAGTTAAAGTGATGCAGCCAGGCCATGGGTCTTGTAAGGGTCAGAGCTGGGATTCAAACTTGGCAACCTGACTCCATCACTCATAATCCCACTCATAATCTTTATCCTGTGCTACAGTGTTTCTCAAAATGTTTAAAAAACAACCCGCAGTTAAAAGTACAGTGTACATCACAAGCCAGTATGCAGATACACATTACACACGCACACACACACCCCTACACGTGCACTCGCACTTAAGCAAAAGTTTAACAAAACAGTACTTATCCTTACTAAATGTTATGCAACCTGATATTTTCTACTCAAGTTTCTATCATTTTTTAAAATGTTGGTTTCTCCCTGCTAAGTTGATTTCACAGCCGGAGTCTGATTGCATTTGACAAACTGCTGTATTTTATTCTCCTGGGGAGAATATTTCACTTCTATTCCCAGCCCTTGTCATTCCCTGGCCTTTGGGGCGAGAAAACAAAATGTTGTGGCAGGGTTCTCCCCTTTCCCTCTGGAGAAGGTATGACAGGTAAAAGGCTGGGTTATAGTGGGATAAGGCCAGCCAGGGAACACTCACATCCGTAGACTGATCAAACCCTGTCTTTAACGTGGCTGACAAAGGTTATTGCAAAATGTTCAAAATCACAACAAAGAATGTAAAAAAGTCTGTGCAGAATCGTGATTATGGGTATGAATTTCAGTGGCACACAGACCTGGGTTTGTATTCCAGCTCTACAGCTCATTAACAGTGTAATCTCGGACAGATGTTTTACTTCGTAGGGGTGTTGTGGGAGGATAAAACTGAAGTAGTTCATTGGTTCATTCAACATCTACTACAGCGTGTCCCTTAGGAGGCACTAAAGAAACAGTATTAATATCTTTATTAATTTTAATGTGAGTTATAAAATACAGACTAACCCACAAACTGAATATTCACCTGTAAAAGCAAATTAAAATTTCCAGACTGTTCAATAATGACCTAATCAACCATTCAGGGATGTATTTAGTCAGTCAGCATTTAGAGTAAGCTATTAGTAGGTCATTTAAAGCAGATTTTAAATACTGACTTTACTTATCAGAGGATATAGGTTTTAGAAGAGCCTCATAGCTAAATGGCACTAAATACAGCCGTTTATCTTTTTTTTTTAATTTTTATTTTTTTCGGATGTACATCATATTTCAAATTCTGGATACATTATATCATGTTCACCACCCGAACACTAATTATAGTGCATCCCCTCACATGTGACCCTAATCACCCCTTTTGCCCTGCCCCCTCCCCGCTTCCCCAATGGTAACCACCAGTCCAATCTCCAATGCTATGTGTTTTTTTTTTTTTTGTCGTTTTTATCTTCTACTTATGAGTGAGATCATATGGTATTTGACTTTCTCCCTCTGACTTATTTCACTCAGCATAATACCCTCAAGGTCCATCCATGTTGTCACAAATGGCTGGATTTCGTCATTTCTTATGGCTGAGTAGTGGTCCATCGTGTATAAATACCACATCTTCTTTATCCATTCATCCCTTGATGGACACCTAGGTTGCTTCCAAGTTTTGGCTATTGTGTATAATGCCGCAATGAACATAGGGGTGCAAGTATCTTTGTGCCTTTGTGTTTTCAAGTTCTTTGGATAAATACCCAGCAGTAGAATAGCTGGATCATATGGTAGATCTGTCCTTAATTTTCTGAGGATACTCCAAACTGCTTTCC